ATGCATGCTTCTGACTTTACAAGAATGTAAGAACTCTATAGATTTAAATCCATTACCATGAAAAACCACCCCCTCCGCAAACAGCATGGATAGTTATCTAGATATTTGTTACTGTCTGAAAGCATATTATGGTTCCAGTAATAGTCTACGTGTAAATTGGCAAGTGAACCGTTGTCCTAAACAGTGATTGCTCAAGTCAGTCAGAAAAAGTCCTTAACCTTTTTTCTCAATGATGCAGGTAAAACAAGCCTTTGTCAGACCCGGGAGGAGATGGGGAGTGTCTCGGCATTCACATAGCAACACAAATTGCAGTACCAGTTTTCCTCTCTTCAGTGGCATTTGACAACTTGAAAGAAATCCTACAGGATTAACTGGGTCGAGAGGCCAGGGATACACAATCCTAGCTTTACAATGCACCACCAAACGGATCTCTCGCAGAACCAGCACCCCATCATCCTAAGCCCACAGGCCCTTTGAATTGCAGTGGCTCTACTTTGCTGCCCTAATCCCCACCGAATATAGGTGTATTTACGGCAAGGCAGTGGCTGACAGTATGGCTAGCATGACCTGTTCTGCCAAATTACTTGGGGATGGCACTCAAAGACAGTAAAGTTAATGATATCATTAAGAGGAGCCTTACAACAGCTGGTTGTCCATCAGAGAGCAAGCCCCATTGCCTAATACCCCGCAACTCGGACGAGCCTATTAGTCACCCAGATGGGACCCAGTTAACCCCTGGAACTATAGTTTGTTTAGGACTACACGTGTTTCATCCTTGGCTAACGCCTTCGTTATTTTAAGTGTTGCACATCCGGGGTGCTGTTGCCACCCCGGATCGAGTTTTCTGATAAATAAGCACTGCCTCACATTGGTTAATAGGTCTTCTACAATTTCCTATGTTCTTTTACTCTTATTTATTGAAGAAAACACAAAATCTAAATTGCCACAAAGTCTTAAAAGTTATTCAGCAATTTATTTTGGGGTATACATCAGTGATATTTTCACCCAAGACGAACACAACAGTGTACACAAGGGAATTGAAGTAATGCAGGAACTAACATTTCATATCCCTTAACAATTGTCAATTTATTAATTTAAAAATATAGAAAGTAAGATTATACTAAGCAAAGTAACTTGCCTAGACTGATCTTTGTTCCGCATCATATACAGTACCATAAATAATATGTAACTTTAGATACAGATCAAACAAAGAGCCTACTGTATACAGTACATCCTTTTCCGTGCTCCCTTAATCATCTCCAGGTTTTCCTTATTATGTACCAGTAAAAACAAACAACTAAGTAATGCTTTAAACTGCCAGTATTTTCCTAAAATAGGGAGAATAAAATAGACTATAAAATATTTGACTAAATTCAACAAACATAATGACCTGAGTTAAAACAAATGTGTTAAAACACCTTTGAACATTTAACAGAACCCAAATTACTGTAATAAAAAAAAAAAAAATCCTTTCAAGGGATATGTCAAGTGTCAGGAAATGGGCGCAATAAACAAAATCAAGCATTGAATGTTATGAAAAGTACTTTTCTTGTGGACAGTTAATAGCTAAGTACTGGTGATTCAGGGCTTCGAGACGCCCTTGCTTACCGGGAGCCAGGAACTGAATTCTACAAGGCAAGAGGTGTTGAAGGATCAGAGATCAACTGAAAACCTAGGAAAAAAAAGAAATGCCAGAGAGCAGAAGCACAACAACAAAGGCAATTACTCAAAGAAAATTAGGTACCCAGGAGTAACGAGGGAAACAATTGTTGGCTTAAGATAAACACTAACAATGATGCACCTAAATGTCACCAGGTGACAGCCCAGGTCACTCAACAACACTAAGCTACTGGCATACATACAAAACAATGCCCCCCCCTCCCCCCTAGTGGAACTAATGTTCAAGGAGGTAGCCAAACCCACTTGGCTAATGAGTGAAGCAGAGGATGGGTCCTATGAAAGGTTTAGTGTCCCCAAGCTGTGACCTGATGAGTGAGTGAATTAACAGGCTAACTGGAGCCTTGGAAAACGAGGCACACAGTATGAGTGTTTAACCTGTGGCAACAATCATTTGCCATGTTACCATCAAGGCTCCAATTTTCTTTAGGCACTTGCTTGTATTGTTGCACTTATGCTTCATTAAGAGCTAGAGACTGGTCCTGGATCTTGGTATGCAAGCAAGAATGGGTCTCAGAGGCCTGGTGCATCTCCCTAAGGCTTGGCTGAAACAACAGCTCAGAGCTACTAAGGGCCTCCCAGAAGAAAAAAAAAATGTAGTTTTACAGAATTCAAGCCATTCATCACCTCAAAAATATGTTTACTTTGCAATTCGTATTTATTGAATATGAAATAATGCATTATTAATCATTTACTCATTTTATCATTTCCACACCAAAATGGTTGGAATGTTTCATGCAAGTAAATTATATTGTCTGCATATACTGTATGTGTATTACTCTATTTTTCTTTAAATCCAGCATTTAACCCCTAAATTACTCGGCTAACAAAGTTCTACATCGTGGTGTGCATGAAATATAATGGTATTTATATCATCATCACATTCAGAGAGTCGAACAGAGAAGGTAATTGCCGATACAACTTGGAGCCGCTAAGTGTTAATACTGGTACTACATAGCTATTAAAATAAACGACTTGTCTTATTTATGGCTTAGTATAAAATATTTTGAGGAGCAGGCAAAGGGGAGGACAGCTTGGAAGCCAGAAATGCACACAACTCCACAAGAAGTAAGAAAACACTTACACGCAGTGAGAGTAGTCACAAAGTGGAATACACTGAAAGTAGTAATAGTAGTGAAAGCCAACTCCATCCACAGCATTAAGATAAAATATGACAAAGAAAAAGAATAACAAATTTAAATATTGTGCATCATTTGCTAAATTACTTGAACACGTCATATGTGTTTGCTTACTACTTGTTTGGTACTGTTAATCCAATTAAACATTTCAATAATTTAACTGAATGATCTTAAGTCATGCCCTAAACACACTGCATAGTAGTAGCTTTATTAAATATGCATCTTAAGGTAGCAAAAAAGCAACTGCTATCATGTTGCTATTCTGTACATTTTTAAAACTTATTATTATTATTATTGCATTATTAAACACACAGTACAAATTGCTAGGAGCAGCAGGAGGCCAGGAGCTAGCAGTCACTGCAAGTAAGCACAAGTTTTCTTATAAACACAAATTATATGGCCAATAATCTGGCACAGTACTATTAAAAATAAATACAGTATTCATATATTTTTTTTAGCAAATTCTCAAAATTTTAACCAAATTTGAAGTTTGGATCTATCAAACTGTTCTGATATGCAATCAAAACTATATCTAATGTTTGGGTTCAATCATTATCAATACAATTTGAATGTTAAAGTGATACAGCACATGTGCAGTCATCGGGAGAAAACTTTCATACAAATTATACGTACTGTACCACAAAGAAAAAAAAAGTGATGTGGATATTTCAGTTATGATATAGTCTCGACTGTCATGCATTATTTTTTTCATTTATTATTTTCCCGAATAATAATGCATGATTATCTAAATTGTTATAGTTTAACAGATTCCACCTGACAATTTTTTTATCTTATTATGATGGATAAATGGTATCTGACTACTGTATGTTGTACTTTATCAGAATTTTAAAATAAAACAAAAATTTATTTTTACTAGAAAAAGCATTTTGTCCATTTTCCTGCACTGTATATCAAGAGGCAGATAATTACCAAGGTCAAAGCATGACATGCACACCAAAAGGGGTTTCAACAATGCTTCAGAATACAGAACAAGTCTATGATCAATGCATCTACATATCCACTTACCCATAGCTGCTAGGCATATGTATTTTCATAATTAAAACCATTCATAAATTTTTAAAATGCATACATCAAAAAATTGTATTAACATACTAAATTATCCTACTCAACCACTTCATTATAGATTACTTCGTTAGCTTTTAATTAACAAATGATTTAGTTATAAACAAAATATTTTATAATACTGTAATTTGCATAAAAAACCTCAATTCAGCCAGTAAATAATGATAATTGTACTTGCTCACCTACGTAAGAAAGTACGAACACTGTGTAAAAACAGCACAGCAAGACTAAGTAATTAATAAGCAAGACAACAGTTATGACAGTGATAATAACTAGAATTCAAATAGACCTAATTATTACTCCAAGATGTGTATTAAAAAAAAATTCATCAACACATGTCTCACATTTTAGAGGGGCTGGTACATTTATCATACCTTTCATACTCTAATAGTTCAAGACAAATACTCTGTATAGGTGTTTAATGTTTGATAAGAGAAAAATAATTAAGCCAACAAGTTCTGTAATCTTCAAGCACTGACCTTGAATGTTTTGTTTTATGTGCCCATTGTCCATGTAATACAGTACATATACACAAACCCACTTATTTTCAAGGTTTATGACGAGTACTCACAAGCAACAATAATGGCAAACCATAAATCATTGTATCTATGAAACAACTGCTTGTTCCATGTATACAATATGCCACACATTAAATTTCCCAGTACTGTCTTATTACAAAGTGTATCAACTTTCAAAATACTGTATTGTCAATGCCCTACACATGAACAGCAGCTCTAATAGATATATAAAATGTTTAAGTATAATGAATATCATTTGCTTATACACAAACATTGCCATTCAGGTATTTGCTTCACACTTCACATGTACTGTATATCCTGAATAACAAAGGTGATTGCATAATTTCAAATATAACCAGAAGAGCGCCTATTACTGTGCTATAAATACAGTGTTTACACAAGACTGAACTAACAAAACTATGGCAATTTTTTTTAAGTTCTAAAATTAAACCACAATAAATCATACATACTGGTACATTAATACTGGCTTTAGTAATATACTAAATGCTAAAGGATAACAGTGCAACAAGAATGAAAATGGCAATAAGAAAGGCAAGGTTAAGAAAGAAATAAAGATCAGGAATTAGTTTGTACCTCACTTTAATTATAATGAAAACAATTTCCCAACATTCAAAAGTCCCATGTGAAGAAGAGTACAGCTTTCGATTCCGTAGATACCGATATTTTCTGGACGGTGGAAATGGAGTGATCAATTTTCTTGGGCCAATATCCACAGTAAAACGTTCCATAGCTACAAGTCATCACACGGCAGCTTCACGTCAAACATCGTGAAGTTCTCTGATAAACTGGAAATAGTTTCTTATTTATAAGCTATCATAACACCGATTTAAATAATCATGCATAAAAGCACCTAATTAAAAAAAAAAATTTTGCTTCCAAAACTGGCTTACTGTTAAAGAATGCTTATATCCAAGTCAATATTTACTCTATGTAAATACAGGATGAAATTTTACATAAACACAATACTCATAACACACCTCTTCAAAATCACAACAACGGCACATTAATAAGATTTGAGCAACTGTTAAAAGGCTATCTCAAATACAACTGAAATTATACTTGGGTAAAGCATTCACTTCTTGATTGCCTCAAATTTCTGCTAATAATATTATATACCTTATGTCTTGCATCATATTTTTTTCTTCTATATAGCAAATAAATCTCTAAGGACAATGTATCAGCTTTGGAATTGTGTACCTACAGTGACTTGGCTGGCAATCTCAAAAATGCAGGTAGAAACCAACTACCGGTATTTCAAATGCTCCTACGATTTTCTTAAATCATGCCAACTTTTACATCTAGCACATTTCATAAGGTACCCTAGAAATTTAAATAAACTTTAGTTTTTGCTACAATTTACTTCAGTTATTTTATATTAAACTTGGCTTCAATACCAGTTTTTTCCATGTACAAGACCCAACAAGGTGGTCGTACACACAACCAAGTTTTTATACACCTTCATTGCTATAATGTTTAATATTACTAGTCATACTGGCTGAGCACTTTCTCCTCATAATTACTTTACCTTGATTGCTATAAATCTACAATAGTATGGTACTTGTTAATTATCTGCACACAGTAATACTGTCATTACATGAGTACGCTACGTATTCCACAGCACATCGCTTACTACAGTACAATATCTCCACTATTATTGAAGTCAAATATTTAAATTGCACACCCAATAAATTCCCACTGCAGGTTAACATCTGATAATACAGTAAACCATGTCTGTTTCCACATTCTACTTGATACGACCCATCTGGCAACAATTTTAAACGAAAATTAAAAGCCATATTTTCTATTCATTAACAACAAAACTAACCATTTCAATAAACCAGGGTTTTTTTTTGTAAAGCAAAAACAAAAAAATAATTCATTTAACTCAATGCCATTGACAACTTTTTAGATACAGTCCTCACTTTTACCTTCGAGAACTATACAGTACATCTATTCTTTACCAATAATCTTCCAGCATGTTTGTTTTCTTTCCAATATCATGAAATACAGAACAGTTAAGTACAGTACAGTACATAAAAGAAAAATGTTGAACACCCAAAAGCTGGTTATATACATCTCAGTAATTTATTTATTTTTTAAAACGTAATAGAGCAGTTAAACTAAAACAACTTACATATCATTAAATGAGTTTGTACTGCAACACATGAATGTTCATTACTTCACTGTATCAAGTTTCAAATAAATTTTTAATTTAGTTTTAATATAACTATCTTGGGTAATTATTTAGTCTCAACAACAATATATTCAAAATAGTGATGAAAGCATGACAACATAAACGGACTTCCAAACAACCCCACACACTGTTCATATTTTTAGGAACTTTTTAAATTTTTTATTTAAGTTCCCCAAGTGGTTAATTTTCTTTTGCCTAAAAGTCTCAATTGTGATTTAAATTCATAATTATTATTCCCATAAGCTCTCATTTATCTTTCAGAAAGCCTTGATCTTTCTTCCCTGAAGAGTGGTCCTACAAACACTAGACAGGAACCATAAGGATCCCCCAGACACTGGGGTGCAAAGGATCCTCCAGACACTGGAGCCACAGTCATGATCATTATTTCCAATGTTGATCACGATTAATATGAATACTCATTATAACTAAATAATTTTAGCTAGAATTGTTCAGGGCCCTAATCAATAAGGAGTACTTTATAGTGTTTAAAAAATCAAAAGTACTGGGCAATAATTAGATATCACAAACGTGTCATTAAAATAACTAAAAATGCATAAATTCTCAATGACATTTCATAATCTGCAAAAAGAGGATGATAAAGAGTATGAGGACAACAGTTACTAGCCAACAGCCAAATAACCTTTTGAGACGATTTCAAATTTTGCTATCATCTTTGTATATAAATTAGCACATACTGCAAATATGAAAGACGGTGGCTTTTAGCAAAGCTGAACTCGTGTCCCAGTACGCCTTTACTTTGACACCTGATACAAAATCTCAAATGTCACTGTGCATGAATGCCGCTTCTAAGTATGGCATAATGTATGTGATGACATGTTCGGGTGACACTTCGAAACTTCTGCTCTCTTTGGCATACAAAAAATGTATAAATATTCACAAGTCTCACTGGTAAACTTTACATGGCTATTTACAAGACTAAGAGATTCATAACTCTGTGGTGAAGCAGAACTAGTTATGTGCCTCCTAAAAACCAAGCAGCTGTATTGACACTTGATGGAACGACTCGCCTTATTTCCACTTTCCAAGTTCTGTTCATTTTGTGAGATCAAGTAAGATGCAGTACCGTGAAACACACACACTTCCCAGAGACCAAATTTCACTGAGGTGAGAGAATGTCATGTACTGGGTCTTCTTCCAAGTATAAGATTAACACCATGTATATGAACTGTTTACTGTCCCTGAACCCATATACACTACAATATACACTATTTCAATCACATTACAAAAACAATTCTAGTAAAAATATCCAACACTCAACTAAAGGAACCAACACTGTAAACAAGAGGCTTCTCATTTTATGACCAAGAGGCTCCATTCTCACATTATAACGTCCTTTCGAATATCCCGCCTTATGTTTTGTCTAGCACGACACACTGACATTTACAGCATGATATCCAGCTTTAACACACTACTGACACGTATTTCTCTTATTATATAAAACAATGTGTTAATCTCTAGTGTTTGGTGGAAAACAAGGGAAATTTTAAGAGGTAGTCCATTTTATTATGATAATTCTGAGCATAATCAAAAGTCAAAGTTTGTCTTTAATTATGATATTGTGAGGTGTTTCTCCAATTATATTCCTGATATACAACTGAACTGATACACAAAACTTTGTTGTAAAGTTTTAGAATTATTTATAAAATTTTAACCGTTTACTATTCAATTCCTCAAATACATTTAATCAACATCTTATACAGTATACTCAAATTGAACAAAATGTAAGTTTATTTAAAACTATTTGAACTTTGCCCTGTTTTCACCCTTGATCATTACACAAAACCAAAATTCTCCACCAAACATCACATTTCGTGCAGATCGATCTTGTGCACAACTCCAGCACCACCTCACGAACACTCCATCAGTCCTTGGCTAGTTTGTTCTCATTCTCCCTTTTATGTTTTCTCTTGTGATAACTCTGAGCAAAGGAGTTTATAATGCTCAGGATGAAATAGGTAATCATCAGCATAATAAGTTTTTCAAAAATCCAGGCTACAATATTTCCTGCATCCTGAAAGAGAAAATTACAAATACATTACATTTACAGCAAACCTTGTATAACCTGTAGAAGTAAGTAATTATCAATAGAAGTCACCAAACCGGGAAGGCTATGATAACCTGTAGAAGACTTTGCATTAGCTAACCAATCTATCTACATCTGAAAATATGATCATTTTAGATAAATTTATACGAAAGTGAATACTATATCCTATTAACATTATACAGGACTATTATATACAAGTCAAATCCAATACAGTGGTACCTCGAATAACGAATTTAATCCGTTCTGGCGCTGTGTTCGTCATGTGAAACGGGCGTCATACAAAACGAGTGTCTCCATTTAACCACTGTGATGCGCCGAGTTTATTGTGAAATTCCCCCAGTGTGCATGACATCAAGTGTTTCCAAAAAATCAATTTTCTTTATAAAATGATAAATTCCCTTCCCTGAACATGTCTATGTAAAAAAAAATACCAAATTCCACTTACTTTGGCTGTGAGGACATGGACAAGGTGCGTTGTGACGTCATCAGGGGCTGGTTGCCTGTGTGCGACTCTCCCAGACACAGTCGCGCAGGCCATTCAAGCACCTCGTGTTGCCACAAATATATTTTCAATAATTTGTTCTATGCATTTCCAATGCGGTTTTATTTGTTTCTTTTATCGTATATGATGCATATTTGTGACCTTTACAATATGTATACAGTAGAACATTCATAATGATCCATGGAACTGTGATAAATGTGTCAGTAATGTGTCCACAATAAATGTTTATTGTCACAATATTACTTGGTAAAAATTCACTACAATTACAATATGTACAGTTTCACATACTATTTACACAGTAACACACTGTATTACACACTCAGTACTTTGGAGGCGCGCAATAATCAACGAAGTAGTCCATAGTACACAGCGCGACTTTGCACTCATTGCACCAGCTACAGATAGATTTTCGCTTCCTGTTCTTCATTCTGTGTGCTTGCAAATAATGCACTCGCATACACCCTTGGCTTTAGAACTTGTAGGTGGTATGTAGCAACGCTTGTAAAGCATAAGGTAGTATTGAAAAGATTATAGGAAAAGATCAATTTGTAAGATAGTCTTGAAAAGATTGCTTTGTAACGCCCCACACAGGAAAAGATTCAGCCAGCCTCAAAGAGTGTCCGTCAGTCAAGAAGAGATTCAGCTAATCTTGAAGATATTTATGGAAAACACCATCATGCAAGCCGCTAACACTGTTCATCTATGCTACTTGTATCAGATACATCATCACTGAACCCAGAAAATGATTCATCTATGTATCATCTATATAAATTGAAGATGGCAAGGGTGGTGCTCAGAGCTACAACTGGATACACTCGCTGTATCATCCTCATAGGTGCTGTATCACTTGCATCTGACCTTTGTGTTAAGTCCATATTGTGCCTGGCTTCACCAATACTATGACCCTATGTTCTTCAAACAATAAGGTCCGAATTTCACCGACAGAGCGCAATCTTTGAACACTGTGTCGGACAAGTGTTTGGGAGCCGGGGGCAAGTGTGCCACAAATGGTTGTTCACTCAGTACTAACCCAGCCAGCAGCCCTAGTCTTTCATATTTGTTATAGCATAAGGTTCGTTCAGTGTTTGTCGGGTAGGCTGCTCCATTATGACAATCTTTGTTTCAAATGTGTTCCATTTGTTTTGTATTTTTCATTTACGTCTCAATAATGGAGCAGCCGACCTGACAAACACCGATCGAACCTTTTCAACATTTGTTCTTTCTTTAAAGCGTTCACTATACGAGACAAATTGTCGCCGATCGGGCCGGTCGTTACACGAAATGTTCGCCATTTGAGGCGTTCGTTATTCGAGGTACCACTGTATATTATATGGGCATAATGAAAGGTCAGGCAACATTACACTAAATATATATCTTCTCCCAGATTTTTGTTTTATTAATTTTAAATAAACATTTTATTTCACTCATGTTATTTAAGATTAGACAGTCAAGATAATTCATCATGAAAATAAAGGTATGTACAATTTATATGTTTACAAATTTGCCGTTATTCATTGTTATTGGCATTATAAAACCATGCATTATTTATTGTATTTTTTTACTGGAAGATTTTGAGGTTTTTCTATTCCTACAGCTTGAGTTGATTTATGGAAATAATGAAGGGGTAACTGAAGGAATGAGGAAGGCACGATACAACAATGAGGTGGGCCCTGGCACCGCTGGGCCCTGGCAACGCTCGGCCGGCCACGCTGGGCCCTGGCAACGCTCGGCTGGCCATGTCGCCACATAGTCAAATAAATGATATACAAGTTAAATTTAGGTGTTATTTATGATCATCATGTTAATATGCATTTAAATTCTCACATCTTTTCCTATCTTTCAGTTTAGACAGCTTGGATTGGTTCACACTTGGCCCCAAGGAATGAAAAATATTAAATGTTACAATCATGCTTTTACTAATAAAACTTGAATCAAATTGAGAAGAAAAAAAAATTGCTGATAGCCAGAAAAATTTAGGGTCAGTTGGAGATCATAATCTCAAATTTATTTAGTTTCAATCTTGGCTATTATTTAAAGAAAAACAGCAACCTAATAAATAAATCCAATAATAAAAACAGCAACCTTCCCCAAGGGTGAAGACAACATCAAGCGATGAAGTCCTCAAACAGGGAGCGATTCCTGAACGCCCCAGGGAAGATAACCCTGACACGCAAGGGCAGTACTAACGGAGCACCTAGGGAAGGTCACTAGGTGCATGCCGCTCCTGTACTCTAAGACACTTGGCCACCACACCACACACAGCTGGAACAGCCACACAAGGCAAAAATCCAGAACAGGAACTTGAGGCCAGAGGTGACTGAACTGACCACCAGCACATCAGTTCATGAACTGGAGTGGTGGACTGCAGGCTCCCCCCTCACCCCCATTTGGAGGGGGGGGAGGAGGGGGTAATGCTAATGAGCGGGCATGCTAGTTGTATGAAGTGTTGCTTGTTGGGTTTTTTTTACTAAGGGAGTTATTTTGATCTTTTCAGATGTAGATTGTACAGGTTAACCAAGCAGTGGTCCGTTTTGATTCGCCCACCTTTCTGGGTCCTTTCCCGGTCGATGGCAATTATGACAAACGTACAGTACTCTAAAAGTAAAGTGCTCATAGGCCATTGCTTCCTGCACTTCTCTGAGGGGACCAGGTTCTGGCTCATGGTCCTTGGTAGGCATAAGGACTCCTGTGACTGATGACACCAAACTAATATAGCAGATATCAGTTCAGATAGCTTCAGGGAGCCAATGGGGCTCCCCACAGAAAAATAGAAAATGTAATTCAACGTACCTGATTTTCTGAACCCGTTCCAGGCTTTCTATGGAATTTCATCTTCTGTTTCTCAAGGAAGGTTTTAAATGGCTGTTCCAGCTTGTTTCCTATAAGAGGAACAAATGCTAATGCCCCCACAGCTCTGGCAAGCAATGATTCATTAAAGGCTATGATGACAAACATTTTCTGAATGTGCATTTTTATAACTGCTTTCCCAATGAGAGTTGCACCGAAGAACGTCCAGAAAGGAACAAGGAAGTGGCCACAAGTGATGCCCGCAAGATCAAACAGAGGATTTGGAATCTGAAAGGGAAAAAAAGAAATGAAAACTATAGTTACACCAAGATCACGAGAGAACTCTCACTTGCCATTTTATTTGATAATACTTCCACAAGTGCTAATATTAGTACAGTATATTAAAATTTTGGGTGCCTTATTCTCTCTTGAGAACCCAATTTCCATGAAACTACCCAATTTTGTCATTTTACCCAGACATTTCAACTGACTTTACAGGATATCACCTAAAGGAACACCTGAAATATTTGTCAAAGATTTCTATGTACTGGTTTGGTTATAATAAACATGAAGCAATTTAAACTTTGCTCCCACAATCTGTAAAAAGAAATGAACATTGAATCAGCATTGTACATCATTACATCTACTTCTATTTTATATTGTCATCAGACAAGGAAGCACCATTCTAGACAAAAATTAAAGAGCAATTAATGGAATGAAGATTTATGCTTAAAAAAAAAAAAAAAAAAAAAAAGAGCATTCACCATCTCTCTTGTTCACCATTTGCAGAATCATACAGAATTTGCAACAGATTCTCCAACTAAATATCCACAGCAGTACTCCAGTACAGGCGAAACAGGACTCCAGGTTATGTCCTGATCCGCATAAAGTGTTAATTAAACTAGGTGTACAGTATTTCCCATGATTTATAAACAAATACACATACCCCTTATGAATTACGATATGTTTATGTGATACTCTGGGAGTACCCAGAGCACAGGTTCGAATCCTCATGGCTCCTATAAATTTTCACAAAATAATTAAGAGATATTAACACTTCTTGAATCTAGATTTATTCCACACCATTTTTTTTTTTTTTTTTTTTTTTTTTTTAAGAACGAGGGTACACAAGTAGATACTTTTAATTTCTCTGATCAGGTTTAGAGCGCTCCCTCCAACAGCTCATTTTAAGCCTTGCCCTTCTAGTTTTTCTGGAACATTAGCTACCCATTAGTTTATAACAATATCCATAATTACTACTGGTTGAACCAGAGTTAACAGTTAAGGACCAGTGCCTAAACAGTCTTCTTCCCTACCCAAGGCTCATGCTACCACTTCAGAGGAACTGTTAGTGTACACAATTTCTGGCTGGCACCTAGCCCTGTGAGGAGGAATTTTAACTTTCACCCAGTTAAGCATCAAGGTGGTGGATGAAAAACAATCCGTAGTTTCCAATAGTTATATGATAAAGATTATTTGATGGGACTAAGAGACCAACTAAGAGACCTGGTTAGAGACTGCACTACGGGAATGTTGATCCTCAGAATCATCGACAGGTAATTAGGAATATGTAAACAAAATACAATTGTATTTGAGATGCATATGCAAAGATGCCACAGCAAATCACATGCACTCTTTTACTTACAGATGCGCACGCAAGGATACCAAAAAATCCCACTCTTTCGACAAGTTTCTCCACTGACAGCTTAGCACGGTCAATGAAAGACATATCTTCGGGCCTTTCTTTTAACCGCTGCAGCTCTTCAAATTCTGCCATTTCCTCATCATCAGGATCATAACCAGAGAGTCGTGCTCCACGAGCCATAAAATATGGAGGCAGTTCACCTGTTAAAAGAAAAACTAGATGAATGCTTACAGCAAATTTTCAATTTGCATTAAATTTTATAATGACAAATCACATTAAACTTTCCTCATGAACTTGAATTTTATTACAAATTTGAGAGAAAAAAAATAGCTAAGCCAATAAAAAAATAAAACTAAAACATTTAGCTAAAACTAAACAAATAAGCTAAGCCCTATAGTACAGAGTTCTTAGTCATGTACAGTACAATATACATGTGTAAATTAGGACTTAAAAACTTCTCTCATGACAAGCAATTGACAATAGGAAATGATATGAACTCAAATGCTCTGATTTCAACAGAGAATAGAATATAACTCTGAAGATAGAGATGGGATTAGACAGAAAAATTGTAGTAGTAAAGGAGGGGCTGAAGAAATGCACAAGACTGAACTTCGAGTCAGGCCATCATGCATTAAGTAACCACACACTACAACCACCATTACAACGCACTACCAAAATTACGTAAATCGAATTCTTATAAAGATAACACTCTGGATCAGGTTGTAAATGGAAGAAAACTATCAAAATCTCCTATAACACACAAAATGGAAAGGTCTTTACATTTGGCAAGGTTTAACAAAATGTGAGAAACAAAATTCTGACCAAAAAAGCCCTCCCAATAGTTAAATGCAATGTTTTGGAGTATTCACAGAGACCCATAAATGAAACAATGTGGACAATCAAATATGATAAAGGTCAAATGTAGGAGTAGGTTGTGAATTATGGAGGAACTTGTATGAACAAGCTCCGAAGGTGCTTGGAATCAAAGCAGAAAATAAAAACTCTTTAATGTTCAAACATACAAGCCTCCATATAAAAACCTCATGAAATAATAACATATCTGAATAAATCTTTGGAGCAGGATGGCAGGATTGAACCAGCATCCTGGGTCACCGTCAAACACGTTTCTTAACCGATGGACTATTTGCTTACAGATTGTACCCGTTACATTGGTTCAATCCTGCCATCTAGCTCCAACAATTTTCTCACAGATATATGTTATTGTGATTTCATTATGCATTTGGCAGGAGTGTTTAGTGAAGAATCATTACCTACACCAGAGTGTATGCAGGTTACATGTAAAAATATGGATTGGGGTTCCAGCTCAGTGTCTTGAAATTCATAGAGTTCATGTAGACTCCAGGCTGTGTAACTTTTAAGCATATCATGATCCGTGGAATAAGGTACGCATCTAGGATGACCCAGGACGCTGGTTCAATCGTGCTGTCCTGCTCCAAAGAAAGTCTCCAAATGTAAAATTTGGGTATTCACAGAACAGAAAACCCCAGCACTGAATGTAATGAAATGCTGGGATAACACTTGGGACACATTGTCCCACCCGGGACAATGGATAGTTCTAGGAGTGGTGGTGGTGGCATTATTTGTTTATGAATAACCTTATCTTCCATTTGGTCTGTAAGAATTAAAGATATTTTTAACATCTTTGCAATTTCTCCCCCACTTCCCCTGATAACTGGATGAGCATCTTTTGCTGCAAGGGTGGACTCTTCCAGCTGTCTGGGGTTATATCAATGCACTTGTGATCATGTTATAATGGTGACATTCCAGGAGTGTTACACGGGAGAAGGTAGCAATAACGAGCAGAAGTGCTAGTCGCATGAAGGGTTGCTTGTTTGGTTTAAGTCTAGGTGAGTTATTTTGATTTTTAGGATGTAGATTGCACAGGTTAATCAGACAGTTGTCAGTTTTGATTCGCCTACCTTTCTGGGTCCTTCCCCGGTTGATGGCAATTATGACATACTTTAAGTGCAAAGTGCTCATAGGCCATTGCTCCTTGTGCCTCTCTGAGGATGCCAGGTTCTGGCTCGTGGTCCCCAGTAGGCTTAAGGACTCCTGTGACTGATGACCTCTCAAACTAACATAGCACATATCAGTTCGGTTAGCTTCAGGGAGCCGAGAGGGTTCCCCACATAAAATATAATTGTCTTGATAATCTAGAAAACCAGATCCTGGATATTATATTTCTTTTTGACTTCAATCTACCCAGTTTAAGATGAAGAATATAAGACAATAACATTGTTACATAAAATCAACTTTGAAATAATCACCCACAGATCAGAGCTGACAAAATTTTGCTCAACCAGCAGATAACATACCCACTTGGCATGTGTAAATCATTGTACCAATATAAATAAACCAATATAATGGTACGATGATTTATACGCCAGTCAATATGAACAATCTTGGTTCAGGATAATAAGGATTTATCTGAATATGAACCGATAGCCATCATAAATTTGGTTGAAACTCCAATATTTATCATAATGATTTAAACTGATAAAGAAAACGACTAGCTTAAGTTCATGTACAGTATGGAACCAAAATGTTTTGGTACTTTCCATACACCAGATCACAAAATAAAATACAATATATGATAACTGCTGATAATGCTCAGTAACCATTTAAAGTACATTTTATTTCACTTGCTCAACATACCTAATGCAGTGCCAGCACCCCACATAAATGCTTCTAGACGAACTTTTGCCATAATAGTGAGGATAGACATTTCTTTCCCCGTTACTTCTTCCTCTGGGCACAATATGCTGAAAAAAAAATATGCAACGTTGAATAAATTTGACTTCAATATTTTTTTTAGTTTTACATATACATACTGTAGTACTAAAAATGTAAGTCTTACTTCCCATTTACATTCGAATATTACATGCATATCAACACCAGGATTACATCTCAGATCAGCGTTTCTCAACTGGGGCTCCACGAAAGGTCATTGGGTTTATTTTTTGTTTACAGATATAGTTGATGTTTTGTGATTAATGTATATATATATTGTACTGTATTTTTTACATTAATTATATATATACAATGGAACCTCGGTTGATGACTGCCCTAGAAAATTAATTTTTTTGAACATCAAATATGTCATAAAATTTTAACTGGTACACAATGGTTTACTTGGAAAACTACGTCTGTTCGTACGCGTATGGGTCAAATGACTGTGGTGTTGGGGGCGCAAGGTGAATCACCCGGCTTACAAGTCTATCACGTGTAGTGACAATCTCGGCCGTGCTTAAATTCTTTGTGAAGAATGTCATTGTTTACCTGATTTTTCTAACATAAAAGTTCTTATTATATATCATGCCATGGGTCCCAAGAAATTCAGTGGTAAAGTTCAATCTAAGAAAATAGTTGTGAAAAAGATGATAGAATAAAAAACAAGAGAATTTTTAGTGAATGAATGTCATGTCTCACTACAGAAGTGTTAAAACTTGGGAAAAAACAAGTGTCTTTAGACAGATTCTTAGTAAGACAAGCAAGCAGTGAGCCACAACCAGGTGCTAGTGGTATGCCTGCAAAACGTAAGAGGGAGTACCCCAGAAATATCACTGTTATAATGGAAGGGGACTTCTCTTCCAAACACCTTTCCTCCTCCCCTCCTCCTCATCGTCTTCCATACGCCAACAAGAGTTCTCATTCAAGATATACATACTGTACAGTACTTTATAGCAGCTAGTACAAAATGAGAGTTATTTGGTATAAAATGTATTTTTAAGTTAATATTTTTTGGGGTTTGGAACGGATTAATTCAATCTACATTATATCTTGTGTGAAAATTCGTTTTGGTTGACAACGCATCTCTGGTAACGGATTACGATCGTAAACAAAGGTACCACTGTACACATTATATGGGTATATACAGTACTATAAAATAATTGTTATTTAGGGGTTCCTTGACACTTAAATTATTTCAGGGGGTTCTGCAAGGGTAAAAAAATTGAGAAACTATGTCCTAGATCAATCCTCTTTATAGTACACAAAAATCAAACTTGCACTGTTTTACCCCATTTACATATGGTCTTCACAATTACCTCACTTGGGCAAATAATTTCTCAATTCTTGCTATTCTTACCATTACATCTTAATTAAAACTAACTTCACATTTATTACCCAATTACTGTTCATTTTATACAACCAAGAAAATGCAAGCACCACATTTTCTACTACTACTAGTGCTCAAGGTCCCAAGCTACCTAGAGTTGCACACCTATACCTTCTTCACACATGAAATAAACCAGTCACCTCAACTTCCAGAAGTATGGGAGGGGAGGGGAAGGGATCCAACAATATGTATGGTTTTCATAGTACAGTAATGTGCCTCCATTATAATGTAAATACATTTGTTTAAATATTACAAACACTAAAAGTAAATATAAACAGATTTCAACACAAGATTAATTCACCGAGGGAAAATCGAGGGATATTACAGCCATGTCACGGCAGTTTAGAGATTCATGAATTTGAGAAACTGCTGTCCTCGACAAAGTGAGGATTAAGCAGTGAGTACACACAAAGGGGGCAGCAGTGAAGAAGATATATATATAAAAAAAAAAACATGGTACTTATCAGAGGGCATCAAGCCGGAAATCTTAAAAAAAAAAAAATATATATATACAAAAAGGTATACTGTATAAATAACAAAAACTGAAATTGGTGTCACGAACAGACACAGTAAACAGAATGGAGAACGCTTTTGGTCATATTTTAAAGGCAATAAAATGAAGACAACAGAGGCTGATAGTAGTCAGAAAAAAATGATGGATTTTGAAGTTCCACAACTATAGTTGTAGAATGGAGCAAACCCGAGGTATTGAATGATAAAGCTCCATATTCCAAATTTACAAAGGAATTTATTAATGGGATGAGGTACAGTGTAAACAAAAGCATCGAGAGCAGCAAAAGGAGTAATCAAATTGAAAATTTAATAAGCGTATTTAGAAGAAATTGACAGAGGAAGAAGAGCCTGGCTGTAAAGAACAAATAAAAAAAATTATATATATATATATATATTTTTTTTTAAACACGCAGTTTGGACACACTCCAGTGAACTAAGCAAGGCAGACCCAATTCTTTGCAACAGGTACAGTTTAATTTAATGATTTCAGATTTATCAAATCAGTGGGCTTAATCAAGATTGGCATTGAAGGCCAATATGGCTTTTGACATACAGCACCCATCATTCAGTACAGACAGGTAAAGACCACTTTTGGACACACAACACAATCACTCGGTATACAGTTGTGAGAGCCAATATCAAGTTTGATTTAGCACCACAGCACCCTCACTTTGGCCTTCAATGGCTGAGGGTATGTTTGGACAGGTGCTTTATTACCTATAATTAAAACAAATTGTAATATTTTAATATAAAATATAATTACAGTAAGCACATTACTATATTCTAAATAATTTAGAAAAATTACTGTACAGTATTATTATTAAAAATGCATAATTTGTTTTGCTTAATACTTTAGCAGTAGACTGACAAAGTTTTTCATGGGGTCACAAGCATGCCACATCAGCCTATGCTTGCATTAGTGTTTTCCTCCCCAAGTGCATCCTACTAATTTGAATTTCCAAGTATTTTATTTGCAGCATTCTTGTATATTTTTTTTTTTACTTGAAAATCAATAAATTTCTAGTAAAACAAGATTGCTAAGTCTAGCAGTGGCATTTGGTTTAAGGAAAGCATTACAAGAAATAGCCTCATAGTTGAACAAAAGTTTGATTTACTGGAAAAAAGTTGAGAAGGTTTATTCAAATTTAAGATTAACAACAGAGTATATAGGAACAAAAAAGGTACAGTAAGCAGTAGAAAATATGTAAAGATATTTCTGAAATATGTGAGCACTACAAAGTGTTATACTTGAGATACAACATGTTTCAGGGAGACAATGAGTGTTCACAATATCCATAACTGGATGCTGTCTGTATAGATGATTTGTGCAGCATATCATGGTTGGCATTGGCATGTAATTTGAAAAGTTTAAGGTTGCAGCATCTTAACTTGCAATTGAGTTACAGGCATTCATACCATGTCTACTGGGATTGGGCCCAAAAACAAACGGTTAACCAACTTCTCTGGACAAATACTTTTGTCTAACATTTTTGTCTGTGTTCTTAGGAAGATGGTGTGGTTGCAGAAATAGAGAGAAATGTTACTGGTGAGCTGCTAAAGTGATGAGCTCACTAGATCCTGAGGATTGACCTTTGTACACCAAGCAGTTGCTATCAAAACAACGTGAAGTGTGCGGGTGTAATTATAATACGTGATTATGGTACTGTGCTGTAAAGCCTGTGGATCCAAGGCACGTGTGAATTTAACACTTGTGAATACAGCATTAATCCCTATAGGAATTAAGGACTTTACTGCAAATATTAGATGGTTATATGGTTTAAGGCAAGTATCTATTAGTAATATTCTATAAACAAAATTCCTGGCTAGATTTCAAGTACTGATAAGGCTATCATTGCTCCTTCAGGGATTAATTAAATCATTACACTGCAAGTAAATATTTAAGACAAGTGTACAAAACTAATGAGACTGGGTCAATGTATCAAGTAAATCTTTGATTAATAGATTACAGGAATGTTGTTCTTGGCTGAAAAATAAGCAAAGAAGATCTCAAAGTTGCTTTTTGCATATTGCAATACCTCTCACAGGACAAGGTATGCAAACCATGGGATATATCATAAATTAGTCTTCAAATTATTGCAGGCAGTCACTGCCAATAGTTTTCAAAATGCACACTTCATATGAACAATTCTGCAGACTAGATTAAAAATCACTTTGGAAGGGGGTTCGAGAATTTCAACCCATGCAATGTGGAGTGAAGGTTAATGAGGTTAAATCATTATTGCAGCTAGGCAATGCTCCTCGCCCCCATTAGCAAGTTCAACTCTTGACACTGAGAAGAAAAATATCTGCCACTTCCACCAAATCTTAGATCCAACCCATAAATCAAGGTGTTCATCATTGCAATTAAAAGATGTATCAAACAGCAATATTAGATGAAGTTACATTAACAAGTGAAAAGGGTGTGTTGCTTCAGCCCCTGAGGAATGCCCATCAACCAGCAATGCTTCAGCCACTGAGGAATGCCATCAACCAGCAATGCTGCAGCCACTGAGGAATGCCCATCAACCAGCAATGCTGCAGCCACTGAGGAATGCCCATCAACCAGCAATGCTTCAGCCACTGAGGAATGCCATCAACCAGCAATGCTTCAGCCACTGAGGAATGCCCATCAACCAGCAATGCTGCAGCCACTGAGGAATGCCCATCAACCAGCAATGCTTCAGCCACTGAGGAATGCCATCAACCAGCAATGCTTCAGCCACTGAGGAACAATCAACCCACCATGATTTTGCCTCTGACAATCCAAAGGAAATCATTATTTACCGTACTGTTCACATGTCAATAATTAAAGTAGTGCATTACAGATGGTAATAGGTAGGGGTAATATCAAAACATACTATGAACTATGAATTGTAAAAACACAGAGCATAGCTCCACTGAGGCTATGCTCTGTGTTTGATTAAAATTGATTTGATTATCATGGGTAATCTAACCGTATTACCCATCTTATGTATGAGTATGGCACAGCCCAATATCATTTGTTAAATTTAACATATTCTGTATTTTGTTGCATCAGATAACCCCCATCGGAACCTGTTTGCACTTGCTTTTTTTTTGGGGGTACAAATACTGCTATACCGAATATACATTTTATTTATGTATTAGAACTAA